AATTTTTCTTCCCCCCCCCCATTTTTTGTGTTAACAACGCAGTGTTTGTGGCTAGATTGCTGGGAGGGACTCAGGCAGGAATCTGGAGAGGGCCTGTTTGATGATGGCATCCATCTCTGGTGTTAGATTCTTGTTTTCCCCAGTAAGGGTGGCAATGTCAATTGTCCGATGGCTTGGGTTGGTGTCAGTGCACAATCTGGCTATACGCGTTTGCTGTGTGTTTATGCATTCTTGTTCTGAAATCCACGACCGTTAACTTGAGTGACATTCACGAATCGAGGTTGATCCAAACCACAACGAGATGAAACGATAACACACCATTCTTTAATTAATTAATTTATTAAAGTAGAATCCTCGAAAAACTTTCGCAGAAACAACAACCCAAACATTTCCCCGACGACACGACACAACGCGACCCCCCCCCCCCCCCCCCGCGACGGGCTCAGATCGCTGTTAACTCCCCACCCCCACCATCACGACGGATGCACCGAATAGATTCGCTCCATACCAGAGACAATATGCCCCTATATGCCATCATCGCACATCCTTCGTGGAGACCGGGTGTGTGGGAAAGTCGCCCCACTAACACGTCATTGCATGGCGGGTGACGTCACAGGCCTCCAACATCCCGGAATAGTCGTCAAAAAATATAACTTTTCACACGCGCGTCAAACTCTCTCTCTCTCTCTTTCTTTCTTTCTTACTTTCTTTCTTTCTCTGCTGTACAAACTATTGCAAAAGATCCACTGAATCACTCGCTCACCTGCGAAGAAGTCGCGTCGAAAAAACAACAACAACGCTTCGTCGTCCTTACTACGAGGCAACGCAAGCATTTCTCGCGACACCGCAAGAAACAGTTCCGTATGTACAAGAAATCGCGCTTCTCCGTGAACGTGACGTCAGCTTACTCCACTCTGTCGACGCGTGTCCAGTCTATCTGACACACAGCTGCGACGCGTGTCCAGTCTATCTGACACACGGCTGCGATACGTGCGAAATACATGGCCACGAGTGGCGCCACCGACACTTCCACATAAATTACCACTATTAATTGACGTGGCTTCATTTGCCAGCTAATTTCCTCACTCGACGAGAAATAAGTGAATAATAATGCGCCGAGTATTACTCACCAAGACAATTATTATTTATCAAGACAATTATTATTTATCAAGACAATTATTATTTATCAAGACGATTATTATTTATCAAGACAATTATTATTTATCAAGACGATTATTATTTTATCAAGACCTCACATCTAACGGAAAAATGGCGATATGCTACCACAGAGATATGATTACTGAGATAACATGAAGAAGGACGCTAGCAGTAAAGGTGCCCTGCTCCTGGTGTACGATCTGCAACGATGCACTTCTAATTCTATCAATTCCATAAATGTACACTAGATCACTATAGATACTAGCTGTATCCAACACTGTTATTGTTATTGTAGATATATATATATATATATATATATATATCCCTTCAATAGCGTCTGCCAACTCCTCTCGTGTCCTCTCTCCTCTCCTTTAACCTTCTTCTCTGTGTTCTGCTCGTCAATCCAATTCTCCCTTCTCGTCATTATCTTTCTCTTCCTCTGCCTCATATGTTTCTCCCTTAGGCGCCCTCTTCCTACCTCGATCCCACCTCTCTCTGTCTGCCTCCTCATCTCTGGTCAAGTGCTCTCCAGTCTCGAACGACCCGCGCGCCTCTCCATATTCGCCCGCGCTCCCCTCGAGCTATTTTCTCTCGAATTGCGCCGTGTCTCACGCGCTGTGAGTACTTTTCCTTCCTTTCCTCTTCTCCTCCTGCGTCCCTCTTTACTCTCCTCTCGCTTCACTCTCCTCACTCGTTTCATCTCTGTACTCACTCCTCTCTTATTCTCTCCTCTCCTCCTCTACTCATTCTCTTATCGCCCTCTTCTATTTTTCTCCCTTTTTCTGTCTCCCTCTCTCTCCTGTCCTCTCTTTTCTCTCTCCTTACTCCTCTTCTCTCTGTGTGTCTCTCCCATCCCCTCCTCCCTCTCATTCTCTTGTGTCCTCCTATCGCCCTGTTCAGCTCGTCGACAATTCATTCTTCTCTCCTCTCTCTGCCTCGGTCTCTCTCCTCGTCTTCTCTCTCTTCATCTCCTTTCTTTCGCTTCTCTTCCCACTACTCTTCCTGCCCTCACCTCACCTCCCTCTCTTCTCATGTGCCCCTCGCTCCCCCCTCATGCGCGCGTCCGTCTCCTCCTCAGCTCGTCTATTTCGTGCCTCGGAACACACCGCCCGAGTGAGACGCAGGGCGCCCTTTCTCGGTCACTCTCTTCTTCTCCTCCATCTTCTCCACGGCCGCTTTTCACAGAAGTTTCACAAACGTGCTCTTGCAGCGTACAGCCTCACGGAACAAGTCCAACAACATGTCGCGCGCGTTGCCACTCCAACTGTTCTAGCCAATCCGCTGGCGTGATCTATCGGGCGGCGGCGGGGGGCGGGGGCAAAACCCAGCCGCGACCGCTGCAGCGGGGCGAGAGGAACAGTACGCTACCACCTGGAGCGCGCCGACCGGCGGCTCGCCGCTCGCGTTCCTCTCCCTTCGGATCTGACCCGTGCTCTCGCGTCCGATGGCGCCATCTGTATTCCACGTATGCGAACAACCGCTTTGCGAACTAAAGTCTCTCCGGTGAAATCTCGACGAGCTCTTTCGACGCGCACTTCTGTTTGTCTGCGGACGAACTTCGCCTCGTCTCTATCTGCACGGCCGAGTTCGCATAATTTTTTCGGTGGCGAATCTTGCCTGTGCCTTTGCTCGTCCCGTGTTCTGAAGACGGCCATTCCTCGTAGGCGTTCGGGTTGGGTTTCTCGTCCTATCTGCATCGCAATGTGCCCACAAGTTTGTGTTCATGATCAATCGTTACTCTACTAATCTGTACCCGTAATTCGGGGCCCGTTGTCGAAGTAGGAAATTAACATGCTTTTACGTGGTGAAAGCTATTTTCTTATAGATAGACTGCTGATCCCGAAACGGAGTGAATGAAAACGAATTTGGTTCATTGACTTCTAGATAGAAATAGCGGATAAGAGTTACGCCAGTTTCTCCACAATAGCACTATAGTTGAAAGTCCGCGCGCAGAGAGAGTAATGTACGACTGAACTTAAACGCTAAAGGTTTTCCGACATGGGCTGGCCTGCTGTGCTTTGTGCATGCCTCTTGCTGTGGGTCTTACTAACCGACGTTTCTCTCCAGAGCCTGGAGCGATGGGTCCTGTCCGTGTGTGTGTGTCGAATTGTAAGGTCATTTGCCGCTTGCGAGAGGTCACGATAAAGGCTCATTTGAGTGTCAAGGGCGATGGGCCGGGAGATGCCCAGTGTACATATATGTACAGTACAGGTGTATCGAAGCCCGCCGTTAACCTTCATTCGTCTGCACTAATAATACATTCAAATAATTGCGTATAACAAAGTAATATGGTGTAGATGTTTCTTATACGTTAACAATATATAACTGTATATATATACACACATGTATTATATATGTGTGGTTATAGAGGAAATATAATCGACATTTCTGTTCGTGGGTGAATTGTTAGCTGATGTATGTTATATAAATGCATACATAATATAATATATATATATATATATAAACAATACCA